AAAAAAAAAAAAAAAGGAATTTCCATTCCCCAGACTTTAAAAATATTTCTCAGTAGTAGTTTACTCCATATATCCAACTAAGGTTATTCCTAGGCAGTTTCTTAGTTTTGTTAAGGCTGGGAACAAAAAATTTGTATTCATTCACTTTCTTAGTATATTAATGATTTTTAAAAATATATTTACACTTTATATATATTTAAGCTTCAAGCTTCTATCCAGTGATTTTACTAAATTCTTAAAAATTCTAAGTTTTTTAGCTGATTACTTAGGCTTTCCTAGTGATATGCCCATATCATTTACAAATAATGAACATTATGTCCCCTGCCCCACACTTTGATAGTAACTTTTATTTCTATAAAATTTCAGCTTTTAGGAACTTAGAATCTTTAATGCATTTATTAATCTATACATATTCTACAAGAAAGAGTATTCTGTGTAGAAGAATGACTGTGTAATAATTCCTCTTATGGGCCTAATACTATGCTGAGAACTTTATATGCTTTCTTCATTCTAATATTAGCCCTATAAAGCAGGTATTACTATACTATTCCCATTTTACAGATGAGGCTCAGAGACACTGATTGATTGATTGATTGATTGACTCATTGAGACAGTCTTCCTCTGTCACCCAGGCTGGAGTGCAGTGGCACAGTCTTGGCTCACTGCAACCTCTGCCTCCTGGGTTCAAGCAATTCTGCTTCAGCCTCCCAAATAGCTGGGATTATAGGTGCAACAACCAGACCTGGCTAATTTTTGTATTTTTAGTAGAGATGGGGTTTCATCATGTTGGCCAGGCTGGTCTCGAACTCCTGACCTCAGGTGATCCACCTGCCTGGGCTCCCAAAGTGCTGGGATTACAGGCGTGAGCCACCATGCCCGGCCTCAGAGACTGTGAGTAACATCATATAGTTAGTTAGTAAAGGGACAGCTGGTTTTCAAATAAAGTTCTGTTTGATTCTTTCTACTATAGCAATCCGTTCCCCTTTCTTAATTAATGTGTCTCTGGTATTCTTGAAAAACAAAACAAAAGAGAGCCAACAAATAAAAGTAATTCCTAAGAATTTACACGAACTTTGTAGCAATATAACTCGCTCATTGGACTGCTGCTTGAGTTTTAAAATCAAATATTTTGCTTCTATTTATGTTGCTCTTTAAGGGCAAGGTGTGTCCTGTGAACGTTTCTCACTGTTAGACTAGGGCAGAAGCTCAACAACAGAAAAGGCTGATGACTAAGAATCCTAATTTCCTTCCAACCAGGGCATGTAGTAACACAGACACTTTTCCTATAATCCTTTGCTAGTCAGGATGTGAACTGCTATACAATCTCCTATTCCCAACCTTAACCATACACATGCATTAACATACAAACCAGAAAGATACACAAACATGACAGTCTATTTCAGCTAAGTTATATTCTTGCTACACCTTAACATACAAACCAGAAAGATACACAAACATGACAGTCTATTTCAGCTAAGTTATATTCTTGCTACACCTTAAAAGCTGTTAAAAAAGTGATAATATTAACGGAAATCTAGTGCCAAGATTTCTTTATATTAATCTTATTTGACTAAATCTCCCTGGTCTTTGGTGAATACCAGAAGAAAATATTTTAAATAAACAGTATAATTTATCTTTCAGATAAATGGGATTTTATTATCCTGAGGTATTTATGTGCTAACTTAGAAGGTATAATCTAGAGACAGAAGTTCGAGACTAGCCTGGCCAACATGGTGAAACCCTGTCTCTATTAAAAATACAAAATTAGCTGAACAAGGTGGTGGGCACCTGGAATCCCAGCTACCTGGGAGGCTGAGGCAGGAGAATTGCTTAAACCCGGGAGGCAGAGGTTGCAGTGAGCCAAGATCACGCCACTGCACTCTAGCCTGGGCAACAGAGCAAGACTCTTAAAAAAAAAATTATCGCATTAAATTCAAGTTCATTATATTTATTCTGGAAGTTGGTCAACAGGAACAAAGAGGTTTTTTAAGGAAAATCTGAAATATTATGTTTGCTGCAGCCTTTCATGAGCTTTAGAATCTAATTTACTTTGGTATTTTTATTGCATAATATTTAAAAAACTGACTCAGAGACAAAGTTATGGAAATCACAAAGAACTTTTCAGTTAAGCTGATATTTGCAGGAGAAGCTGGCAAAAAGATCGTCACAAAATACATTAAGATGGTATCACAAGTGCTTTCAATTATAACTCTTGTAAATCACTGTGAAAAACAATGGACGAAATGACTTTTCATGGCCATCTAGCATAAAAATGTACAACAAGGACTTTAGATTTAAAGCTGTCTTTTAAAATTTTTTTTTTTATTTTTTTTTGAGACGAAGACTTGTTCTGTTGCCCAGGCTGGAGTACAGTGGCATGATCTTGGCTCACTTTTATCTCCGCCTCCCAGGTTCAAGTGATTCTCCCCCGCCTCAGCCTCTCAAGTAGCTGAGATTACAGGTGACTGCCAAGATGCCTAGTTAATTTTTTTGTATTTTTGGGAGAGACAGAGTTTCACCATGTTGGCCAGGCTGGTCTTTAACTCCCAACCTCAGGTGATCCACCTGCCTTGGCCTCTCAAAGTGCTGGGATTACAGGGTGAGCCACTGCAAAAATTTTATACTAACTATATATGTCCTTTTGAAAACAATCAATTGATAACAATTTCTCACTTATTTCATTCATTCCCCTGCCCCCTGAACCATGCCCCACCAACTTAATAACTTAGAACTTTAATTCTTTCCTGAATATTAGTGTTCCACCACTTTCTTGTCATTTTCCCATCTTATAAATATGAATCTAGATTCCTAAACTTACTACTTTAAATGGATCTAACCTTTTTAATAACCATTTCTGCTGTTATCTGTACACTGTCTAGTCCTTCTTTGTCGTCCTGGGAAAACTGATCCCTGACTTGAGATCTTTCTCTTCCTCTGTAAAGACAGATGTAAAGTAACTATTTAGAAAACACGCCAATTCTTTTTTGTATCAGAAGTACTCATACTGAATTTTTTAATGCAGACCTGAAACAATCACTGGCCACATATTCAGAAAGGTTTTAGATACGTACCTGCATTGTCTTTGCAGATACTAGAAGAGCTAGTATTCTCATTACTTTGGTATAGGTGCTGAGTTCTAGCCTCTTGGGGTACAGATGATGTTTGAGTCATCCCTTCTTCTAAGGCTTGTTTTATCCAGCGCTATAATCGGAAAAGAACGACAGAATTATCAATAATCATTTAAAACTATTTAGTACACCTGTTTTAAATGTACATCAACTAGTGAGTGATACAATCCAACACACTAATTCAGTTACACTGTAGTCAAGCATTTTATTGTCTTGTGTCTCACCATATTGGAACACCGTCCTATCAATTCCTTTTAACTGACAAAATTTGAGAAAATCTGGATTACGTATAAGGAGATCCCATCAAAAGACAAAAACCAATAAAAAATGACTACTATTCAACTTTTCATACTGTTTGGGATGATGTAAAATGGGAAGACTTAGGAAGAAATCTTAACATTTATTTAGGAGAGGCTCAGATCATATAGAATAAAATGCATAAAATAAGTGCCTAGAAGGAAGATAAAGATCTCTTAAAAGTTGTCTGCCCTGTGCTGGAGACATATGAAGAGATAATAAAAAAGATTCACAGGAAGATTTGGGATAAGGATGAGTCTTCACTAGAGCTACCAAAAGATTTGCAAAAGGTCTATCTCAAAAGAAATAAACTATGGGATCTCCCTCCAACAAGCAGTTTGGTTAAATTATGCACAAGTAACACAAATCAAGAAACGAACTTCTGTAGAAATCAAAAAAAGGAAAAAAGTCAAAAAGAATACCTGTCAGTCACAAATTTTTGGTACTAAAGATGAGAATAATAAGCTGACGAGAAATAAATTTTGAACAGATAGTAAGCCTGCAAAAATTAGGATAATAAGATTACGCATCCTGTGGAAGAGAGAAAAATTCTTACCTGCAATTGTGTTCTCTTAAGATATACAGTTGTAGGTTGCTCACCACTCTGTGGCTCTCCTGCCCTGACATAAGACAGATCGAATTTTGATAAACATCAATTTCTGAGTAAGACCCTCCCCCAAATAGGAAGAGCAAAGGTGAATTATTATAATTTATACCTTTAGAGAACATGTATTACAGGTAAGTAAATATTCTCTTCACCAAAGAGAGCAATTCTCATAGATTTTTCTTTCTTAGAAACATAGGAAATAATCCATAAAAATTTTACCAAAAAAACCCAACAAACTTACACCGTATAAATGTCATTATGGCTGGCCAAATGAAAGCACAACTAAAATTGTAAACATTTGGAAGGAAGAGTGAATGAGTATATAAAAAAGAGCTCTCAATGGTAATTTGAATCATGTAAACATTTTAGGATACAACCAGGTCTCTGAAAAGCAAACACAAAAACAGAACAAAAACCCCAAGAATGAACTCTCTTAGATACAGAATATTGATATAAAGATGAATTGTCAGAACCATACATACAGCCTTAAAGCTTAGAAGAGAACTGAGAAGTCATCTTGTCCAAAGCACTCATTTTATAAACGGAAAAATTAGGCTCAGGAGTGAAAAATCTTTTGTTACAGCCACCTTTTTCTTTTCAGAGCAGAAAACAGACTCATTTGGGGTCACCGAGCTTTCTGATATGAGTAATTTTTTAGTATTTTCACGGTCTAGTATATGTACTCATAAAGGAATTTACATTCTGCATCTGATGACTACAAAAAGGGAACATAAAACCAGAACAGGAGTATTCTAGAAGAAAGATACTACCATGGTAAGCTATAAGGTAAAACACAAAAAAATACGGTCAAATCTTCTCCTCCCAGTCCTGTTGTATAATTTTACAATATTTCAGGACTCATATAAAAAAGGAACACGGACATTTGTTTGTATCTAATGAGATACAATTAACCCTATGGACAATAAGTTAATTTAGATGCATCTACTTGGCAAGCTGTTAAAATCAAAAGAACATTTCTCCCTTCTCTGAAACTCTGTATTAAAGGGAATTGCAAAAGAGTTTTCTGGGAGGCTCAAAGATGGGTAAGAGAAATGTTTTAAAGAGTCTCATTATAATGGGGAAAGAGCAAGGAAGTAATACAGCTTTTGGAGTCCAAAAGCCCTGGCTTGAAACTTGGCTATGAGGATGGGTACAGTGGCTCAGGCCTGTAATCCCAACACTTTGGGAGGCCAAGGTGGGCAGACTTCTTGGGCTCAGGAGTTTGAGACCAGCCTAGGCAACATAGCAAAACCCTGTTGCTACAAAAAATATGAATATCAGCCAGGCATGGTGGTGTGCCTGTGGTCCCAGCTACACAGGAAGCTGAGGTAGGAGGACACTTGAGCCCAGCAGGTTGAAGCTACAGTGAGCTGTGACGGTGTCACTACACTCCAGCCTGGACAACAGTGAGACCCTGTGAACCCCCACTACCCTCCACCAAAAGAAATTTGGCTGTGTCACTTACTAACTGCTTCACTTTGGGCAAGTTACCAAGCATGTCTAAGACAAAGCTTCTGGATATATAAATTAAGGACAATGATCCCAATTTCATGAGATAATGTATGTAAGTGAGATAATGTATGTGAAGAAAGCTTGTAGCACATTACTGAGCACTCAGCAGGTTTTCAACGAGTGCCTGTTCAACTATATTTCAATGCTATGTTTAGAGATTTACAGATAGTGTTTCAGTGTATAAAATGAAATATTAATACTAAGGCAAAGCACAGTGTTTCATTATCAGTCAGAATGGTTTTACTAAGAAGTCTGGAGACCAAATGCTCTATACATTGTGTCTAGAAGATGAGTTTAGAGAGAACAAGATGAAACACTACTGAAAGCTCTGCTGGCCACTTGTAAGTGCTTCTAAAATAACAACTGAAGATCTAAAAAATAATACACTATAAAATGCTTCTTAAGAACTATGATTCAATTTAGAAACTCCAGGGATATCATAAAATGTTCTGTCAAATACTCAAACTCTTCTCTTTGGAAGCAGCAAAATAATAATGAAAATAAAAAAAATAGCATAAGAATCTGAGTACAACTAATGGATAAAACTTTAATTTGTCCTATACTCATAAGTTTTTAAGTTACGAGGCCAGGCCCTTACCTCTTTTAGTCAGATTTGAAACAGTGAGCCAACAGAAATATACATCATTCTAAATAATCCCATGGAGGATTGTTTTTCTCATCTACCTGATTAACTTATATTCTGTGGGATTTTCAGAATTTTATTACAATTTTAATAATGGAAATGTTCTTAGGTTCTGCATTAGATTAAGTTTTCTCACCAATCTAAGAACTATTCATTACTGCCATAAAGCCAAGTTCAATTCTTGCTAAAACATTCAATTTCATTTTACTTTGCCTCATAAAAAGCTGCATTTTTAAAAATACAATCTTGATATGTGGACAGCACACAATAAAGCAATGATTTAAACTTAAACAGTTTTTAAAGACTCTATTTAAATAGTCTTGTTATGATAATCCTGTGTCTATAGCCTAACCTCTTTCCTAAAAGACTAACCATGACACATAGATAAAAGTGCTTTAGCAGAGCCTGTATAAATAAGATTAAGGATAGTTAGATACATTTGGAAAATATAACATGGACTTGTGTTAAATGGAATTTCTATTTGTTGCCCGTAGAAATATAAGGATGCACTATAGAAATAAGTACTACCTGGGTTAAAAAAGCTTAAAGAAATGCATTTTCTACCAGATTGGAAGTTACCGTCCTAGACACATGTTTTTGGTTTTCATAAGTCTCTGCTAGTTGGAAAAGATGGAAACAGAAAGACTGCAACCCAGCATCAAAATTATCAAGAAGGAATTTCAATTCAAGAGCATAGTTCATATTATTTGCAGCTCCGACTTCACTACTAATCTATAATAAATAATCGCCTACACTTCTTAAAGGACAGAAATAGCAGATTGTACAATCTGGCTTGATAAGATGCTTCAACAGGTAACATCCTTAGAAATCGTCAAATTTCTCTTTAGGATTTCTTCTACTAGGGTTTCCCCGAACAAACCAATGAGTGATTCCAATATTTACATAAGATGTGCAATTAGGAAAAGACGTTCTGCAGTGTGCTGTTGTGTCCTTCCTTTTTGCACAAATTCCTGTTGCCCTCCTCCCCTCCATATCCCACACCATTCTGGCTCATCTTTTATGCTCCCTCCCTCCCCACCCAGGAAATAATTTCTGTTCTTTGGGGAAAGAGAAAAGTTTTAAGTTTGGAGGAGTCAGGGAAGACCTGCCTGGAGTTGTAGACTTCATCACATCAAATAATCTACATGCAGCATCCTCATGTACGTGATGCCAGTGGAGGAGGGCAATGGCAGACACTGAGGAAGGCAGCCTGAATCCAGATCTGGGGATAAGAGAAAAGGGTGTTCCAGGGAACAGACTCTACCTCAAAGGAAGGCCAAATGAAAGGGTGCCCTATACTTCTAGAAACATGGAAAATGACATCACAGATCTGAGAAAGTGATCTATTCCTAAGAGACACCTTTGGAAAATATGCAAGGCTTCTGGGAATTAAGAAAGAACATTCCAAAAACACCACCAAATGCTACTGCCACTAGATCCAAAAACAATAAGTAACTAGAAAGAGGAGAAAGAGGCAGAGACAGAGAGGGAAAGACAGTCTTTTAGGGTAGATTGCGTATTCTCTAGGGAATAAACAGTCAGACTTGCCATTTGATCAAGGAACAGGAATTACGCCAATTACAACAGGATTTTTTCTCTAATTTCCTTCAAGTGATGATGGTGGATAATAGCAGTTGAATTGATTTAAAACACAATTTAATTACTTTTCATTTATGCAACAGTGTTCTAGAGGACCTGGGGCCTAATCTCACACAATAATCATAAGTGGACACGTTAACCAATATCACAAGAGCACACACAAAACATATCCATCCCTACCCAGTCATCCACTGCTGTGTGCTCTCACTCAGGAACCTCAAGGGTTCTCAGAAGAGACATCAGTGACCAGTCACAAATTTGAGCACCAAAAATGAAGTATATTCATTCCACCATATTCTTACTGACTCTTATTGAATCAGTTTTTATGGCTGAACAACTAACTCATTATAAACTCACATGGGCAGAATGGCTATGTAGAGAACATGTCATGATGATAGGAATCTTAGGTTAAAACACACACACACACACACACACACACACACACACACACACACACAGACATAC